CGCCTAAGAAATAGCAGTTTGTACTTTCCGTTTAGATCATTGAACTAGATGACAACCAAGTCCCAGGACAAGAAGAGATTGAAGACGATCAGGAAGATGTTGAGATGTCAGAAGATGAGAATGAAATGTAAGTATCAGTGGGGAACTTGAAGATATAAAAAGTGAACACGTTAAGGGAGCAATATGGTGTCTCCGATGATTCATGCTTAGCTTTCCAAGCTCACGATCAAGATGCTTTCACAGTTGCCATTTGTAAAGATAAATATATAGCCTCAGGCGGAGAGGATGATAGAGCATTCTTGTGGGATTGGGGGTTAGGTAAGCACATGATAACACAAACTCATTTGAATGCATTTTTCAGAATCTGAAACCCCTCTCAAGATAGAACACAAAGACTCTGTTTTTTCTGTGGGTTTTAACCATTCCGGTGCTCTTCTTGCTACAGCCGATCTCTCTGGTCTAGTGATTATCACCAACACAGCCGATGGTTCAATCAAATACTCGGTGAGTACAAATCGATAGCTTCAAACTTCATTCAAAATTTTGTTCAGCTGGAAGAAACTGGTGACTTGGAATGGGCTTTGTGGCACCCCAAGAAAAACTTCTATTTTGCTGGAGCAAAAGACGGTACAACATGGCTCTTCGATCTTACCGATGACGAGGCTGCTTTCCCTGACTTCAAAACTTATCCCTCTCATGGGGCTGTGACTACAGTGGGTTGCTGCACGCCTGATGGCTCTAGGTTACTAGTAGGATACGAAGATGGCATGCTCAGTATGTTTCGTGCTATATATTAGCTTCTGAACAACAATTTTTCAGAATCTTTCGATATTGACAACGGTACAAGTCTCTCTAAGTACATTGGTACTTCTGTTTCATATATAGCTCACCACCCCACTCTGACTATTACTTTTGCCGGAACTTTGGCTGGTTTGTATATCAGCTTCTTCTTTTATCATCTTTTAATTCAGGAAATGTTTATACCATGAATACCAATGCCAAGGACGGTCTTACTGTCTTCAGCACAGCTTCAGCTGACGAGAATCCTGTACGCATGAAACCAAAAAATGACATGGACGAGGTTCGATGAGCTCTCTTTTACCTTTTTCATCTTTTCGTGTTAGGAAGAAGAAGCAAGTATAACTGAATCTGTTGAAGCCATAGCAGTTTCCGAGAAAAATAACTTTTATGCTGTTGGAAGGAATGACGGTAGCATCAAGGTCTATGATGTTCAACACTCTTCACCTCGAAGCGTCATCCGATCCCCTTCAGGATTGGTATGTTTTTTTCTCAACTCTACTTATCCATAAGTGCATCATTCAGGCCATCAATAATTGTCTCTGTGTCTATAGAAGAGACAAGACCTTATTGCTTGCGGGTTCGGTAGATGGTACTGTTAAACTCATGGACCCTAGAGACGGCGCTGTTGAAAAGGTTTGTCGTTTTTTTTATTACAAGTAGTAATATGCGATTGCTATCAGGAGTATGGCTGTGGTGGAGATGCTGTTTTGGATATGAAAATTCTACGAATGGAACCTTTGAAGTTTATAGCCAGTTGTTCCGGAGGTATGCTGAGAGTCTTTGACGACTCTGTAGCTACTGAATAATTCTGCAAGTTGTTGATTTGTTATAATTGTTAAGTTGTTATTAAAGATTTGTTTTTTTTTATTGAATGTGCTTATAAGGGGGGCGAGGGTGTAAGCGTTTCAATAAGTTCATAAGGAAGAGTTTATTAGTTGGAAGTATAAAATTTTGTATCACGATCGTTTTGCAGAGAATGAAAAGCAATCACAATTGCTTGCTATCACAGATTTTGGGACGATATTTCAATTTTTTAGCCGTTTTCTTATAGTATCTTTCAATCACCTATATATATTATATATATATATATGAAATGCAAATTGTACACAATATACACATCTTTAGACGGCAGCTTTTGCCGTTCCATCGCAAGCGACAAACTTCACACGGTTCACAGGCCCTCCGTCTATCGCTTCACGGAAATCTACCTTCTCCATTAAGAATGTCCACACATTATCACAATAACGATATGCTCGGAGTTTGTCCGCCTAAAAGTCGATTAAAGAGATTATGTGGGGCTGCAAGAAAGACAGGAACCTTAAAAGACACTTTGTTCTTCGCCATTTTAGATAAAGCCTTGTTTATAGCTCTATCATATACTGCTAATACTTTTTGAGCAAGAGCTGGCGTAACTAAATCTGCAATGTTATAATCAGGTTAACAAGCAGGATGAAAGGAAAGCAACCATCATTTATCAGATCATCTAGAGTCTTCTGCAATGCTTCACCCAAGGTGGTATTCCTATACATTATATAAGTCGCCATCTATAAGTAAGCCTTACAATGAATGACGTTGTGATAAGAGAGGAAAGGTATAATAAAGGTGATGCGACACCTAAGAAAGCCTTTAAGCACATTCAAAAAAAACTTTAATAACAACTGAAGAATAATAACAAATGGACAACTTGTTGAGCTGTCCGCCTACAAAGTATTCGTAAATGATCCCAGCGTATCTTTCCTTTCTACACTTTCACAGTATCACCAGAATCTCTTACCTCGATCGTGGGTACCGCAGCCTAACGATATCCTCTTTAGAACCCATGTCCAGAGAAACTGACGTGAGTTCTGAAGAACATATTGCTGAAGGGAATGATAATGTGTGAAAGATGTAGGAGCCCCAACGAGCTCAGAGAGGTATGCTGGGAGCAAAACAACTTTGCGTAATCAGGTACATGTGAGGAATGAAAAATAAAGAAGAATTCAAATTAAAATAATGAGGTTCAGAATCTGAATCGCGAACTTGAATGATATAATTTCATGAGATCCTTCCCCCTCAAAGCTAAACCCTGATCTCCATGCGAGTATGAAAATTTAATCTTATGAATGGCAACTGAGATTTTCATGATACATTCGAAGTTGCGCAACAACTATCAAAACTATCGTGAAGATCTTCAGATACCTTGGCTTCACAGGTCCGAACTGGAACTCACATCTCATCCTTATAACTTAATATCCTCTTGATCATCTACAATCTGTTAGTTCTCTGACATGTGGTTGTCATCTAGTTCAATGATCTAAACGGAAAGTACAAACTGCTATTTCTTAGGCGGGAAAATTATTGTTCACAAATAATTACTTCATCAT